TAAACAGAAGTATTATACATAGAATTTTATCAAACACATCGCATTCACATTGTGAAGGGCAATGAAATCTCCCATTTAGTTTGTTCCATCAGACAGCTAATAAAGCTGTAAATAATGGAAGGCTGCAAACCAAAAAAAAAAAAATACTTCTCTTTCAGCTTGCCTTGTATGCCATGGCTATGTGCTCCTGATTCTAAGGGGCAAACATATGTAGTTAATTTGAGTCGTATAGTGATGTGTTTTAAGTAGTTTTTCAAATATGGAACTTCCTGTAACAAAATATTCTTTGATTTTTCATAGGGATGTCAAAATTTGACACGACCTGAAAATCCGACGCGAATCTGATCGAAAAATTTTGGGTTTGGGTTAACGAGAACCCGAATTGAGTTGGGTTCAGGTTAGGGTTTTCAACTCGTTTCAAAAATCGGGTCGGTTCGGGTTAACCCGGAAACCTAGAATAACCCCGCTCTGCCCCAGTAACCTGACCGCGTTGCATCTCCTGCAACGCATCACATCTGCCTTGCATCGTGCCATTGCGTCTGCCCGGGTTGCATCGAGCCGCTACTAGCGTCGAATCCCTGCCTCGCATCGCCGCTGCAGCACCTTGCCGCTGCACTCAATGCAACGTCGCATCGCCTGCCTCTGCCGACCGTTTAAGTTACGCGATTTCTAGTCGTTGCCGAACTCAAAGCGGATCAGGTTCGAGTCCAAAAACTCTACCCATTTGCAAAAACGGGTGGGGTTTAGGTTGACCCGAATAATGCCAGGTCAGTTCAAAGATGAGTCATTTGCACTAATGACTCAAATCCGACCCGTGACTTGGAATTGACACCCCTAATGTTTCATAATGTAATGTTGTACTTTTACTATATTTCATTTACTAAAATCATTAGTAAGAAATAATTCATAATCTTTATATATATAATCTTTATATTTTCACTTTTTGCACATTTTTGATCTCTTTGTGCCCCTAATGAGGATCAATTGATAATTTTTAAGAATAAATTAAAAATCAGCTGAACCTATCAATTCTATTTGATTTATTTTTAAATAAAAATAATTTGATTTTAACTTTACAATTTTTAATTTAATTTTAAAGATAAAATTGGCTATAGAGATTCAAAATTTACACATTTTTAAATTATTTTCTTTTCTATTATTTTTCACTAAACAGACTATAATACCCATTATAAGAAAAAAATTGAAAGATGATATCCTGAATAAATTTAATTCAGAATATATTTGTAATATTTCATAAATTGTGCTAGTTCATGTTCAAATTAAAATCCATTTTATAAGACAATAATAAAAAATATTATCTTGAAGAGTTCAAACAAACTATCACATAACTTTTACTAAGAATTGTTTTACATTCTGAATTTAATTTAAATTACATAATTTTAAATTATTTCTGTTTCATCCTGTAATAAAATAATTTTATCCTTTTTCAGATTTGCCCAATCGAATCAATCTGCAATAACTTGAGAGTGATAATTGTTGGTGTCCTGGAATATTCGCGGCGGTAGAGAAATATATAGTTTAACGTCTTAGCGTTGTACGAAGATCCAGCACATAATCAGATA